CACGCGCACGCACGCACGCAGGCTTAGACACACACGCATGCACGTAGAACTAGACATCCACACGCGCACGCATGCACTTATAACTAGACATAAACACGCGCACGCACGCACGCAGTAGACACACACGCACGCACTTATAACTAGACATCCGCACGCGCACGCATGCACTTATAACTAGACATCCACACGCGCACGCATGCACGTATAGAGGGTCTGGGGATAACTACATAATATTGTGCTTTTCGATAAGTATTTTACCAGCGTTCTACACTTAGGATGTTCTGGAATTATATAGTCGCACGATTCTAGTTCAAAGTACAAGTCAAGGCAAGATACAAATTCGTTAGTCTTAATCTTACCTATCTAAAATCTTATATACAAAACTCAAGTTACATGATCAGTTGTTACCAATTTAGAAAGTTACAAGAGGTCAAGTTCGAATTGGAGTTGGACCGCTCATATTGTTGAATGTATGTGTAATTTGTACGTGCGTGGATGATTAGCTGCCTGCTTATGGTTCCCTGTGCGAATATTTGCTGTACTAATTAAGTGAAGTGATGGAAGAGCAAGTAAAGCAGGTTTTCTGGCAGCCCAACCCTTCTAGCGTGTAATACCCTAACTACTGACAAACTCACAATGATTAAATAATAATGCACTTCATCATTGAACGTGTATATGCTGTAACGCAACAGGATAGCTCTAGAACTATAGCCGTTCACTCTGCCACAGGGCAGAGGGCCGGCCTGACAGCACAGGGCAGAGGGCCTGACAGCACAGGGCAGAGGGCCTGACAGCACAGGGCAGAGGGCCTGACAGCACAGGGCACTGTCTGTGGCAGATCGAAGGCCAATAGTTCTAGCGCTAGCAACAGGATAGCGAAGATGCATGTACAGTAGTGTGTGTGAAGGTTCCTTCGCCGTTTCTCACCACGTTATAAGCAATTAGCAGGTAGGGGGGTGTTCAGCACAATAGGCCGATTATCGTATCCGTCGCTCACGACTCAACCTCAAATATTTTCGGAAGACGAACTCGCTTATAGTGTGTATATTGTCGCCGCTTGCTGCTCATGGGCGTGGACAAATGTACGGTGTGTTTGTGTGCCGTTAAGATTGTCGGTGATGCTTATAGATATGTTTATCCCGCGTGAGTAAAGGCTGGGTTATTGTACGGGCCGATCCCGCGGGTCAACGAGCGAATGCGTGTACGAGTATGCGCGCCTTCGTCGTGGCATTTATGTCGAAAATGTTCAATTTGGAGTGCAAATGTTTAAATCGGAGTGCAAATGTTCAATTCGGAGTGTAATTGTTCAATTCGGCGTGCAAATGTTTACTTCGGAGTGCAAATGTTTACTTCGGAGTTCAAATGTTTACTTCGGAGTTCAAATGTTTACTTCGAAGTTCAAGTATTCACTCGCTTCGAATCGCGCCCCGTACCCACAGGCACTTGAGCTGTTTCTATAATAAAATGATTGTAAATAGACACAATTTGTATTTGCTATCAAAGTGGCAAAGTAAATGCTACCAAAATCCCAGAGTATGTAGCCTCTATCGACTAATAATTCCGCGTAACTTAATTTTATTACCCAAGTGAACCCCCGTATCCTCTGCTCATGCGCTGTAGCTGCGATTTATTCAGATGGAGGTATTTTTTCTTGATTTCTGGGCGATGTGCCCCATTTTCGACGCGGACGCGTGGTTTTTTTCGGGGCAGCCAGCCGATGGCGCCCGTGTAATAGCAGCGATTATCGTGGTCACTTGTTTCTGTGCCCGGCAGTGCCGCGTTCGAACGCAATGTTGTTGCGTGGCGGCGCCGAAAACGTGATATTATATAGGCGCGTTTCGTGACTCGTGCGGCGGTAGAGCAGATAGTCTGTCCCCGACTTCCTGGATGGCAAAGTGGCGGAGCGTGTGTGCGCGCGCGTGCGTTCGTGCGTGCGTGCGTGCGTGTGTGCGTGCGTGCGTGTGTGCATGCGTGCGTGAACGGGCGCAGGGGTGTGGAGGGGGGATCACAACGTCTGCGATGATGAATATGGCAGTGTTATTCATTGCAGGTACGCCTATATTATATAGCTAGCTCGGTATTTATAGTCCGGCTTTGACTGGGTTAGTCACGGTTGCTACCGTACGTACAACCATGCTGATGCCGCAGGCATGAGGGCTAGCTGTTCGCTAGATCTGGGTTAGTCATAGCTCTAGTACTATAGCCCGCGGATAGCTGCGGCAGCTATCCGCGGGCTATAGTACTAGAGCTAGGTTAGTCATGGACAAAACAATTATCGTGTTCATTTTATTGATGGAAGAGTAAGAGTTAAGTCTTCTCTGAATTAATTAGACTCAATAAAGAACTAGTTGTCTTAAAACATTGTTACTAGTGTTTGGGATTTATATTTATTTATATGACAGTATTGCAATGTTAGGGAATTATTAGAATCTGGGGTGAGGTCGTGGTGCTGGGAAATGTGTATACCCAACGCTATAAGCTAAGTCACATGTGGTAATAATTAGGAGCATTTCACCCAGCCGGTGTGGGTAGGAGGATATCACAGTGTAACCCAATCTCTGCCTTACCACAGGCACTTGGGTCGTTTTAATATTAGAACGGTGGTAAATGAACACGAAGTGTATCTACTTCCGAATTCATGTGTGGCCTAATGGTGTGAATACCGAATTCGTGTAGATTTACTATCATTTTATTATTGAACCGGACAAAGTGCCTGTAGGCCGGACAAATTTCACTGACATATGATAGTAGTCTGGGTACGTTATTAGTGCGTGCGCTGAAACTACCGGGTCTATATAGCAATGCGTATTTGATGACAAGCTGCAGCCTACCTACACACCTGCAGTAGTGGCAGCGGCTGGCACCAACACCTGCTACAGCTGACCTGATGACGGCGCTAACTTAGATGCTGTCTTCTAGATGCTAACTAGAGCTCATAGGGTCTATGTCCCCCAGGGTACTACCGGAACGTACCCTGGGTACGGTCCGGTATACCGGAACGTACCCTGGTACTATCTAATATGCCGGACCGTACCTCGCCTACTCCACTAACGAGTCTAGGGAGTCGCCTACGCCTACTCCCTAACCCTAACCCTAACCCTAATCCTAACCCTAACCATATCAAATAGTTACCAGGGTACGTTCCGGTATACCGAACCGTACCCAGGGTACGTTCCGGCAGTACCCTGGTGGACATAGACCCTATGAGCGCTAGGGGCAACCCAGCTAGAACTGTTCTGAAATGACATATCGCAGACGAGGATCGTAAAAGTAAAAGCAAGATCGCGATGAAGGTCGATGCGGACGCATAATAGAGATTGATAGAGAAGAGTTATCGCGCTGTACGATCAATCTCACACCAGCGGTACGATAGTAATCAGAAGTAGATAATAGGGAATGATTAGCCTTAGGGGTTTATTCCCTATTATCTACTTCTGATAGTAATGCTTATGACATAAATGACGACATTGCGTTTTCGTGTTGTACGCCCGATCGAACGCGTTTGGTCGCAGGTGGAGAGGTTAGGCGATTATGATATGTTTGTGACTGCGTAGGGTTCTCTCGCATTTGCATACGAAACGCCATCCAGTTATAAATTAAGTTTATTATTATTATCAGCGGTAGCGGAAGCGGAAGTGTGCTGGGCTTGCTGGGGGAGGGTTGATCATGCAGATAGTCAACGACCGGATTTCACGTTGATTGCATCAACGGGTACTTGTGACCGCGAGAGGGGAATAAAATTTGCATAAGTAAATGTGAAATTATATGAGTCAATGCCACTGTTGGTATCATGCGCTACTGCATATATCGCTTAAATTGTAGAAGTTCGCATATGCTCCTCTCACTGTGTGATGTATATACTATATCGTTAAGTGGATGCATGCTGTTGCTGGAACATCTCAGCAATGTGTAGGGTGAATTCGATTGACTGCTAATAACATTTCTAGTTTGACTCGGTATCGCTTCATAGTCTGACATAGCCACAAGTTACCTTCTCGCTTCTCGCTGCGTGGCGATACGACGCCGTGTTCCTACGACGTGAAACAGTCGTGGAGCCTGGCCGGGGTACGTCTGTTTCTGTTACGACCCCCTGTGGCTGTTCTCTGGTGGCGTGCGCGCGTGCTAGGGTGTATGTAACCCAACCAGGCTGTGTGACTAACGTCAATATACACAGGTCTTCTAACTTCAGGTTGGGTCACGCTCAGGTCTTCTCATCGGTCTCCTCATCTCCTCATCTCTCTCCTCTTCTCATCGGTCTCCTCATCTCCTCATCTCTTTCCTCTTTTCATCGGTCTTCTCGTTGCTCTCTCGGGTCACGCTCAGCCACACGCTCAAGTCTTCTAACCCTAGCAAAGACCGTTTCTTGGAGCTAGGGTGTATGTATAGCCTAAGGGCTATAGCTCTAGAGCTGGGGTGTGTGCAGACTGATAAAGCATCAAGAGTCTCTATTATTGACTCTTGATAGCATGCCGCTGACACGCTGTCGTATTTCCGTGTAACCGATTGGGGGATGAATCGGAGCGACTTACGGGGAGAGCGTGTCAGTTCTCTGCGTTTCACTTGTCGCACTTCACGCTAGGGCTGTCGTCCTATCGGATTAGCTACGACTTGTTGTGAAACATGGCACTGCACGTGCTGTGCGCGCACATCGATGGGGAAAGGGGAGGGGGCATCAAAGAGCGATATTCGTGACACGTACCTGGTCCGACGAAAGCGGTTTTTCCAGGTGTGAAATGCTATCAGCGAACACATGAGCATGATGAGTGTGCGCTGAGCTGTCTGACTGAATTCATTTAGGTTTATTGAGTACGTGCGCGTGTGCGTGTATGCGTGAGCCGTGAGAGTGCATGTGTGCGTGTGCATAGGTGTGAATCAGCAGTGTGATTATGCGCATTTATCTGTGTATGCATGCGCTCACGCACGTGTGCGTGGCTGCATATGTGTGCATTCACGGTTGTGTTTGCACAGTCAGTCTGAATTGTCTGACCTTATCATTTCAGTGACAAGAAAATGGGTTCATCCACCAGAGGCTCTGCTGAGAGGTCATGTTGTCTACGTCGTCAAGGTGAGCCAATCTAAGTGCTGCAACCTAGTGTGCGAGGTGACATCATGCCGAAATTATCCTAATGGCCTCTTTGTCATATTAGACACTAAATTAGTGGGTGGTTGCTATTTTCCTCAATGTAAATTAGCCAATACTATGTCAGTTATCAGGGGCTAATATTATAATGACAAATTGTCATTTTGGCAATTGACAATTTGTCGTCATTAACCCCTGCAGTTATCAATGTTAAAAGCTGATGAAGTTTTCTAAATTTGAATGAACTTTGTTTTCATTGCGACCGTATACACGTAACGCGTTGCGCATCTGACTAAACGAGTTTCTCCGTTTCGTTTCACGACAGTTCCTAGGTGGCGTGGAAGTGGACAGTCCGAAGGGCATAGAGGTCGTTCGCGAAGCCGTCATGAAAATGAAGGTACGAGGATTGTTTGCGCGATGATTCGGGATGCTGGCGAGGCACTCGTGATGCGTGGCAGCTATGCAGGGGTCACATGATTAATTACGGCTTGGCTTCATTTTACATCCGTAGGGGGGGGGCCTACTGATAATTTCGCAACCGAAATCATTTTGAAGGGCAAAGTCCCCAGCGTGATTATGCGATGCTTGGTCATATTACCAGGAGTAGATAATAGGGAATCCTATTATCTACTCCCTATTATTATTCCCTATTATTATTCCCTATTATCATTCCCTATTATTCGCTATCATTCCCTATTATCTACTCCTGATATTACCCATATCTATTTGTATAGAAATCTTTATAAATATACTTTTAATGGCATTTAAATTGGCATAGCTAATTGGACAAACTCGCATCGCCTTTTAGTTTCTGATGTGCGTGTTCTAGTGCGTTTAACTAACTATTCATGCTTATTTTGACGTGGGTGCAGGTGCGGGTGTGTGTTCGTGTGCGTCTGCGTGTGCGCGCGCGTGTGTGTGTATGATAATCAAACAAGTTTCTGAGCCTTGCACCGTAGGTGTGGGGTGTGATGAGCATGTTGCGTGTGTGTGTGAAGTCAGGCATTACATATGGGTAATTGAATGATTTAATTGCCACCGCGTAACTTCCGTGTGTAGATTTACGTACAATGTTTCCGCGCACCGACATCCGATTTATGTATGGTGAACTCTCCTCGTGCGTTGCCTAACTGCCACTTCTTTTCACTTCTTTCATGTTATGCTCCTGCTGTATAGTGTAGGCCTATACATGGTCTGTAGTAGTTCTTTGTCTTTGTTCTCTTTGGCTTTTACGTGTATACTTGGTTAATTGTTTACCAGCGATGGGTTTGTGTGGCACTGAGTAAAACTGTATGCTATTCTGGCCGCTGTCTTATTTTTCTAGATGTTTTTTAGGGGATCTAGACTTTTGTTGTTGTCATTGTTTGCTGTTGTTGCCGTCAGGGGGCGCTACCCAGTGAGGCGTCACCACGCAAGGCGGGGATCAGGAAGAAGGTAGAGCTGCTGAAAAAACTGGCATTAAACTGAATTACGCGAGGCCTGAAATAGTTCGATTAAACCTCTGATAAGATTTGGGCAGACGAAATAAAGATAGTAGTTATACTGTGTCATGCAAAGCCAGTGTCCATACAGTATTCCGTGCGTTAATGGCATATAATATTAATAGTAGAGATTTTTTCGTGAGAAATGCGTAAATGAGCTAGTAATCAATTGATGCTTCTTTTTATCGATATAGCTCTGTATTCACTTATCAATAGCATGTTCCTGCAAGATGACCTAACTGATTAACACGTTCTTTCCGTATGCAAATGCAACTCGAATCTTAAAATCGATATCTCGAGTATATATAGTCCCGAACTTATTCCAGTAAACCTGTCTGTTGTGGTGTGGTCATGGGTTCATCATGCCTCTAGTGCGTCATAAACTAATCAATTACTTTACACTGGTTTGGTGGTGGGCTGTATTATGTGCTTATAGAATTGGTTTAACACGCTTTTGTGCGCAATGTCCCAAATAAAAAACTAACCGTGCCGGCGGTAATCATTCTTAATATGCATCCATACAAAACTGTTGATGAAAGTAAAACCATTCGCAGAATGTGATTTGTGTAGTTAGCTTACTAACATAGATTTTTCGCATATAATCCACTATAGGTACTAAAAAAATGTTTACATTGAATGTAAGCCAGTCCACTTGCCACTACCATAGTAACAGGTTTTTTAATGTTGTTTCTGTGACCTGAGTTTGTCAGTATATCTATCCCTAAATATGCCCCATTAATGAAAATGGGTCTCTGATATTCTCGCTCACCCTTTCTCTCTCTAATTCCTTCACTCTCTCGCTCTCTCTCGCTCTGTGTGCGTGTGCGTGTGCGTGTGCGCGCGCGTGCGTGTATGTCTGTCTCTCTCTGTCTGGTCTTCTTTGTCATCTCGTTCTCCTTTTCTTTCTCCTCTCTCTCTCTTCTCAGTCTCCTCTCTTTCTCTCTCTCTCTCGATCCCTCTCTCTCTCTCGTCCGCTCTCTGTGTGCGTGCGTGCATGCGTGCGTGAGTGTCTTCCTCGTCCTATAGTGCTATAGTAGAAGTTACTTATCTCTCTCACGTGCGAGTGGCTCCTTTTCTTCTCTCAACTATGCACTGTAGAAAAGGCTCCTCACTGACAAGTGAGAGTAGCCCTCCCCGATCCACACTGCAATGAACGCCCGTAAAAGTCGATGACGTCAACTCGTATTAAACCATTCGCTAGCCGGCAGCAGCCGAAGAAAATCGAAAGCTACGACGCAGATAAAAGATCCTTGCAACTAACGAGGCCTTGCGTCACTAAGCTCTCTCACTGGCGTCTAATGTGGCAATCGTGTCTTGCTCCGGGGCATTGACAGTTGGTTGGCAAGGTTGCCATTCTATGCTGTTTGACGACGAACGACACATTAGTGTACTTGATAGTGGTGGACGCGTTGTTGCCTTAGGGGATTGGCTGAGGGTTAGGTTGGTACAACCGATCCTAACCACTGTCCAGAGTGGCGTGGCGATAGATTTTTCGTTTAATTTTTGTCATCCCGATCCGTTTCAGTCTGGGTTTGTAGCAGGGTTTCGCTTGGTCGTAAGGAGCAGTTTTATGAGAGTGTGAGTTTACTTTGACTATTGACACTCGCTTGTTGAGATATGCATTGATCGTAAACGTTTTTTGTCTAGAATTCCGTCTCTAGAGTGCCGTGTATACTTTCCTTTCGTTTATCGTCTCGTTTCAATGGTTTTGCTAGCAAAGCTGTCATGTGTGACGTGTCCTGTCATTTGTTACCATGAACTGGTTTGTCCGTGTTCGAGCCCGAAGCTGCAATTAGCATGTTCATTGGCTTTGACCTTGAGTTTAATTCTGCTACCTCTCGTCATTTGTGCATGTACTTCTGTCATCTTGTCAGTTGAATAATTAATTTGTTTCAACGTTAACCATTTCTGCATGATGTAGCATGAGAATTAGCAAGAAAATAACCACGTACTGATATGTACAGTACTATAGAAAACTTCTACGATGGAATTGCTGTATTCATTTTTTTGCTGTGTTGCAGTTTAACAACCAGTTGAAGAGAAGCGATGGCAAGGGTGATTCCAAGCTAACAAAGGTCGAATTCACAGTGTCTGTTGATGGGCTGACTATACAAGATATGAAATCCAAGGTGTGCTAGGCATATATTACGCAAAATCGCGCAGTCATCCCTCGCAATAAAGCCAAATCATAAAAGGAGAATAATGGTTCACTGATGTTCTACCGGAATTCTTTCGTTCATACAACAATAATAACAACCTCACAGGCGTTCATAACTGATGTGAACCCAATTGCTAGTTCACATGCTGTAATGACAGGTGTGACCTTTGAGTCATAACCCTCTATACTTATCCCCCCACCTGTGTCTGTGTGTGTGTGTGTGCGTGCGTGCGTGCGTGCGTGCGTGCGTGCGTGCGTGCGTGCGTGCGTTCTGTTGTCTCCTGGTGTCTGTGTCTGTGTCTGTGGGACTATGTGTGTGTACGTGACCATGTGCTTGTGTGTAGGTGGTGCTGCACCGATACCCACTGCACAGGATCAGCTACTGTGCAGATGACAAGGCCGAGAAGAAGATGTTCATCTTCATCGCCAAGGAAGACATGTCGTCGCAGCACAAATGCTTCGTGTTCGTCAGCGACAAGTCGGTGAGTTGCGAGAGCGTGGGCTGGAAGGGAGTGCAGCCTGGACGGGTGTCTCAAAATGAATGAACCTTGATCTTCCTCATCTTAAATCCTCTTCCCATTCTCATTCCATCCTCATCCCATCCTCATCCCATCCTCATCCCATCCTCATTCCATCCTCTTCCCATCCTCATCCCATCCTCATTCCATCCTCTTCCCATCCTCATTCCATCCTCATTCCATCCTCATCCCATCCTCATTCCATCCTCTTCCCATCCTCATTCCATCCTCTTCTCATCCACATTCTGTCCTCATCACATCCTCATCCCATCCTCATCACATCCTCATCCCATCATCCCTTTAAATCTTTAAATCTTCTAAGGATTCGTCTAGTCCTCTTGTCCTCTAATCCTCTTGTCCGTCGTTAATCCGATGGAAAAACATTTTTGACGACGACACTCTGTGAATTACGAAAGCACACGATAGGTGTCGCACCTGTTACTGTTGACGTTGCGAAGTGGACTGTTAGTGTCCGATATTGTGCCCGCCATGTGTGAATGCCAGCAGATGATTATTGTACATCCGTTGGGTATTTCACGGGTAGAGGATGCGAACAGGAAGGACTAATGTTGATTTCGCCATCCTCAATGTGGTTTATCACAAGTGTCAGCGGCTGTAATGCCAATATAAAGTTTGTTTTATGTTGTACCCGACGCTGTGGCAAGAGGACGATGTGATTCATTTCATACCCGATGCGATTTGTGGAAGAAGTTTGGTGATCTTGGGTGTAGAGAAATGGAAAGCCACCTGCAAACGTACGTAAGCTGTTGCTGAAACATTAAGACGGCTGTCGGATTTCACAGATTGGCTTCACAGTTAGCTTGATTAATTGTTATTACGATGCTTGCAGGCGGAAGAGATCACGTTGACTGTGGGACAGGCGTTTGATCTGGCCTACAGAAAATTCTTGGAATCTTCCGGAAGCGACATTGAGACAAAGAAGAACTACGTCGTTTTGCAGAAGAAGGTTAGGAAATAAATTTCACTGGCTTATATATAGACCATTATACATATTAGTTTTCACTGTGTCTTGTCTCTTGAAGGTTTGTGAAAACAATGTCATATAAGATATTCATATTGGTGTTTTGACAAACCACCAATTAAATGTTAATGACATGTAATAATGAAGAAGGATCAGTCTTGATTGCAACCAGTGGAATTGTTAGGATAATTGATATGACGATCATTAATGTAAGAGTGATGGTAATTGTTTAATGCTTTAATCTTGGCTAGGATTCAGGGTTATACGAGAACTATTAAATTTTTAGAACTGGTATGCGTTGATGGACATCATTTCATTACTTGCTTCTTTCCTATTAGGTACAGCAACTAGAGAGAGAAAATGAACAGCTTAGACATCGACTGGTTGAGGTACAGCTACTCAAGGACAAGGGAGAGGTCGACAACTACAAGATCCAAAATAATGTACGTACTGCACTGTGGTGTGTGGCAAACCTATCGTCACCTCCTCCCGATATTTTTTTTCATTATCGGTTTTGTGATCGCCCTGTAGTGTGCGGCCATGTGTTGTCACCTCCCTTGAGATTTCTCTTCATCGTCGGTGTTGCGATTTTCGGAGGACCATGAAATGTGACCCTAAACATGTGGTTACTGCAGGTGTCCAGATACAGAGAAGAAGGGTATATTGCTTCAACATCTCCTGGTAATATGTAAGGTTTGTCAGTTTTAATCAGCCATTGTGCAAGGGCTTGTATGTTACTGAAATGGAACTCATCAACACTTTCAGATTAATGACATGGGACAGGTCTCAGAAGCCATCTTGCCGCACAGCAATGGAACGACAGCACCACCACCCAGCGCTCCACAGCCATCGGTAAGCAAACGTGTTTTAGATAGGAAAAAATTCGTTGGACCGCCTTAGAAATGCATTGACAAATTTTTACAATTCGTTTAAACATACAGAATTTGTGTTTTCTGTACTGGTTATGACACCGTGTGAATCTGTGCCATATCGAAATCTGTCATCTGTCAATCTGTGTGTACATGTGCTTGCTGTGTTCTCTGCAGCCAACGCCACAGGTCGGCACCAAGCTAGAGAATCTCATGTTCGATGATAATTTCAACCCGCCAGCTTCACCGGATCACACAAAGCCGGCAAATAACGGCACGACTGTACCCACACGTAAGTTGCAGCATTGTAGTGTCAGCGAGTGTCTCCTTGGGCTGCAAAAATAACAATGTTTAATTCGCAAAAGCAAACTTCGTATAATGAGTTTTTCTAGGGAGCATGGAATTTCGTCTTCGAAATTCGTGATTGTTTACGTTCGCAGAATGCCCGTTGAAGCTGTTTGCTGAAGCACGTGTTGCAGGTTCACGTTGTAATTACACGGTGAGTCGGTGGGTGCAGTACACCTGTAATGTTTGTTGTTACAGTTACACCACCACCTAGAGCATCCAGGCCGCCACCAAATCCACCTTCACAGCAGCAGCAAAAATCGCCTGCCTGTAAGTTGCGCTTGGTGTCACTCGTCTGTTTTTCGATGTCATACGATCTTCCTCGAATGGTGGATTGTGGTTGTTTGTTTACCCAGGCGTTTATTTGATGGTGGATGTCCCTAGTTGTATCCTGCGAATCGTGTACCGGGGAGAAATACTCATTTTTTCGGAAATAGCTGAACGGTAGTAGGGCGCAACTTCGGGATCGCTCGGGTCCATAATACACATGTGTACACACGCATTGTGAATCCTAACCCTATCTCTAACCCTAACCCTAATCCTAATCTAACCCTAACCCTAACCCTAAACAGAAAAATAAAAAAATTAAAATAATAAAAAATTAACAGATGGGATTCGAACCAACATAACCAAATACCCTGATATGTAAAATGAGTATTTCTCTCTGGTGCAATAATCGTATCCTGCAGACCTTCTGTCTGCATGCGGTTGCTACTGGTGATATTTCATGTATTTCGCCCATGCGATACAACTGCACCAAAAATCATCTTGGCGCTTTTCTTACAGCAAAAGACTTATTCGGGATGGATTCGTTCGAGAAAGTGCCATCGCCTACCACTCCGCCGCCGACGAATCCGTTTGACACGAGCCGCGGGATCATGGTTACGCCCACAAAGAAGCTAGTCCCACAGATGTCTATTGACCTGGACACGGAGTTTGGGCGCATTGACCAGCAATACAGTGAGATTCAGGTAGAACATATAGTTACTGTACTGAGTACGTGGTAACCTAATTGACTTTTCTCTCTATCTACGGGCAATGCACTTTCTCTCTATTCTAAATCTGAGAAATAAACGCTTGATTTAGCTCTACATTGAGCATAAATGTTCCAAGCTGTGCACTCATCGTAGTGTAAAATAGAGCATAAGATGAACTAGTTATTAATGCTCATAGGGTCTATGTCCCCCAGGGTACTATCGTAGGGTACCCTGGGTACTGTTCGATATATCGGAACGTACTCTGGTAACTATCTGATATGGTTAGGGTTAGGGTTAGGGTTACAGAGGAACTCTAACTCCCTAGACTCGTTAGTGGAGTAGGCGAGGTACGGTCCGGCATATTAGATGGTACCAGGGTACGTTCCGATATATCGAACCGTACCCAGGGTACCCTCCGATAGTACCCTGGTGGACATAGACCCTCTCAGCGTTAGTAATGAAATTCTTAATTCGTCACCCTCTCTGCTATTAACTGTGATTCTAGATATGGTACATATGAAGTAAAACGAGAAAATGTGGAAACTGATCCTTAAATAGCTGCTGTTGTTTTTCAGGAGGGATTCAGCAAGGGACTTGCAGTAGGCAATGATGATTTCCAGTTGCACGAATTTGACCCCTTAAGCCAGTAACTTGCTCCCAAAGATCATACGAGGAAGGAGGACAAAAAACGTCGAGCAGGATAATAGATGATCATTTGGCATGAGTGTGAAGAATATGTGTGGCAGAAGGTGAAGCAACCACCTGCAACGAAGTACACATTGAAATTTACTACCACTCTGTATGAAAAATCCCCCACCAGTTTTAAAGCACCATTACGGTTTTATTCCGCGACGACCGTTTTAAGCAGAATGAGTTAATGAGGAATTTTTCTTTGTTTGTCAACTTCTGGATCTAACGCTACCTCACTAGTAGAGGTCGGTTGTTAACATCCAAAATACAGGCAGACGTTCGATTTTAGCTATATTAGCTACGACTGTTCACTTTTATTGTGTGAACTCTGTAGATGGCGCTGCTGTTGTCAGCTGGTGCAGCAGATGGTAAACCTTCTGCTGCAGGTACTGAACTTTGAAAGTGCTGTGAATTAGTGACAAACGGAGATCATTTTACTAGTTAGCGACTCTTATTATGAAAGATTTTTTGCCTCAGATTGATCACGCATTCTTACATGTTAGCGTATGATGTCAACTGCGCGGTTTCATGTAGCAACAATGTGCATTTAAGGTAGCTATAATTTATCTATGCAATTTTCACACCTGTTTAGTGCAGTCTAGAAAACTATACTATGTGTATAGGTCGAGTCTCTTTATACTATCGTGAATTGACGCGTTAAATTTTATTGACGCAGGTGCTTCGTTCCCGACTGAGTTTGTGTCATGATGTTGATGATGGTTGGGGGGAAAATACTCGCTGTAAATGCTCGTTGGCTGGCCCGTGGTGTCAGTGGTGCACGAAGGGTCGTTGTCGTATAGGGTAGTACAAATATGTACCCGAGGTAACTATCTGTTATGGTTAGGGTTAGGGTTAGGGAGTAGGCGTAGGCAACATACTCGCTGACACCTCGTGTACTACATATACGACAACGACCCCTTCCGCGTCAGTAGTGATGGTGAACACGTCAGGCTGTGATGCCTACGTCATTTTCCTATCACTAGGGTCCAGTTTTAACACACATGAGTTTGAACTGCCAGAGCGCAAGTGATATCACGGCCATCTTGATGCTGAAATGTCCTTCTGTGTTGCAATTGGTGCAAATGAATTGGTTGCACGTGGCTATGGGTTTAACATGTGACATTATATCAGAATTTACATTAGCAATAATTATGGCATCTCAGTCTATTGGTTGATCTATTATAAAATAGGTAATCAAATGGCAACATTGTAAATTGTATTATCTATCCGTGATTTGATTAGAGAATCTCATAAAATGATTACTAAATCACTACATGGAGAATATCTGCATAAATTAGAATTGCTTTTTTTGCTTTTTTAAATTACGAATCAGTAAAAATGCTGAACTTATATTCAACGTTATCTGAATAGTATCTACGGAAAACGTTTAGTTTATAATTGCACATCACGCTTCACATTTTATGTACATGTTATGACCAGCCTGAGCCTGAGGAAGTACGAGTTCTGTGTGTATATGTGGATTGTAAGTATCTCATAGAGTTGTCATAAATATCTTATAAAGTTATGTAAGTAGTTTATTAACACATATGAATGTTATTCATTACTTTTATTTTAGTTTTTTCCTTGTTGTTTTTGCAAGCGTGATGCATTAGTTACTAAGCCAGTGTGTACCAACAAACATTGACCCCAGTGAAATGAAATCTATCGCTGTTATTTTTGTACAAACTATTTTAGTTATCCGTTAACTACTGCTACTGATCTCGACATGAGACCTCATGGAATTGGCTGCTAGCGGGTTCACATAAGACGTGCATGAAAAGTATACTCGTTTCGTCCTTTGATGCATCCCTGTCACTGCCTGTACAATGTACCATACAGCATGTACACCGCACGTCTGCCTTGCGTTCTTGACACCAACAACTGCCTTTCTTGGTCATCGTCGTTGTGATAAGCCAAGCTGCATCTGACTGAGCGTGCAACTGTGTAATGCTACGTAACCCTCACTGACACACGAAGGGTCGTTGTCGTATAATGGCATATAATATGTACCCGAGGAAACTATCTGATATGGTTAGGGTTAGGGTGTTAGGGTTAGGGTTAGGGAGTAGGCGACATACTCGCCGACACCTCGGGTACTACATATACGACAACGACCCTTTCAGTCTCGACCCATGATACTATATACTAATATCAGGAGTAAGATAATATAGGATCCTAAGATCCTATATAGGATAATAAGATCCTATATTATCTTACTCCTGCTAATATCACTAGATACTCGAGTTGCGGATAGCTAGGTCCGTGAACCTGATCGTCTAGTTGTAATATCAACAGCTCGTGTGAAGGGAGACGTTTGTTCTCTTTAATTTGGTCGTACATCCCACAGGTGATCTTGCCACTCTCACGACTGCTGCAGCGAGTTATACGAAAATTGTTAGTCGCTGAGTGAGTGCAGTCTTAGGTGAGGCGCTGGAGTTGTCTATAAAGTGAAGCTTCAGAGAACTGTATTCTCAGACGAACTATGCGTGTGGGCATACAGGGGAATGCCAAGTGGTTGGTAGAGTGTAGATCAGTGACAATTAACCTTCATGAGCTTTCGGCAGCTTCAGAAGTTCAGGGGTATAGCTACTAGTTACTTTCTCGCTTCTCACTACTTGGCTCACCTCGCTTCCTATGTCCTACGATGTGAAACAGTCGTAGAGACTGGTCGAGCTAGTGGGGTGTGGGGTGGAGTTCTTTACACTGTCGATCTAAGTGTAACAAGTTAGGTTATGCGTGCGTGCATGCGTGTGGAGGGGTAGCTTTCTGTGAGGTGGTGCTGTTACACATGGTGGGTCTACTGTAAACTCTCCGTTCATGTACAGTGGCTCCCCTCTGTGAGCATAGCTGTCATGTATAGTGGCTCCCCTCTGTGTGTGTTTCAGAAATAGCTAAACGAGCCAGGTCAAACAGAGGTCAGGAGGACATAGACCCTACGAGCGCTAGTTTCACATGACGTTCACACTTTTTGATCGTACTAGCAAATCTGTATGTTCGCACGTGCGCTCTCGTGAGGAAATACTATCCCATGCGCCATCGTTCAATCGTTGAGAATTGCGCTTAGGCAGCAAGGGCGTAGCCAGGAATTTGGATTGGGGGGGTCCTCGAGCGAGTAACAAAGGGGTCACCGGTGGTCTAAAAATTTGTTTTTACTTAAATGTAAAAATAGTGCTTTAAAATCAATTTAGACGCTGTTTTGTTGACAATACTATTTCTTCTGCAGCTCTAAACAAAGAAAAAAAATTTTTTTTTTGGATTTTGATTTTGATTGGGGGGGTCCTAGGGCCCCCAGGACCCCCCCTGGCTACACGCTTGTTAGGGAGGTTAGTTCACCTCATCACGTCCGTGCTTCTCACCTGCCTACTGCCACTGAACTCTCTGCCTTCTCCCATCATGCGCTCCTCCTCGGCGTCCGTCTCCGAAGCAGCCAGCACCTTCTGCAGCATCTGAGTCTGCTCCTCCTTCGTCGCAAACGCGAGGTCCTCCTGAAGTCACAGATGACAATGCTTATGCTCTAGATCAGCATTGGCAGTGCAAATAAATCTTTGCGGCAAATGGGGCGCAGACTTTATCGTGTGAAGAAATGGGGCGCAGACTTTATCGTGTGAAGAAATGGGGCGCAGACTTTATCGTGCGAACAACTGTGGGGACAG